ATGTGTACTTGGAAGGCACCTTCAAATGGTGTGACCCACGCAATAAGCTTATGGCGAGACCCCTTGCTGAACTGACTGTGACACCCACATGAGAAATGTAAAGTGATTGCCAGCGTGCTCTTCAAAATCATCGCAGACTAATGTCAAGTGACAAAAAATGATTATAGCAGTGCGCAGAGATAGATGTGGGAGACAAAATGAATGTCAAATTAAGTTGGCGAATGCCTTAGTGAACACTGATGCTCGTTGTTGCCAAACGACAAAGCAGGTTACAATGAACAAGGGGTTGCGGTCAGGGTTAAATAAGTACATCAAGAATTTAGCAAAGTTGCCTCTGACAGGGTCGACTAAATGAGGTGATTTGATGTGCGAATCTGCCATTTCACTAATCATATCTTCATGATCACAAACCGGGTTTCTCCGTTGCCATTATAAGTTGCACGCACCCTCAAACTGTTTACGTATTTTTTCGTACTCCTCCTTTGTGGCCTGTTTCTTGGTGTCCGTCCACTTGATCATCTCCTCACACTTCGCAAGTAAAGTTTGTCGGTACTCCTCTGATATCTGCTTTATCTCCTTCTTCTCCAACTTCCTCTTTATGCTGTAGATGCAGTCCACTAACGCGTTCAGCGCTGCCACCCTACTCCTCTCCTTCTCGTCCTCCTGCTTGAATTTCTCCGCTTCAGCCAACATTAGCTCTGCCTCCTCCTCCGAAAGATGGCCCTTGTACTTAGTGATGGTGATGCTGTTCTGCTTCCCCGTCGACTTTTCTACCGACGACACATGGAGAATGCCATTTTCGTCAATTTCAAAGGTATCTTCAAACTCAATCTCACCACGCGGCGCCGCTGGGTAACCCTCTATCAAATACTGGCCCAAAAAGTTGTTATCACTTGCCTTCGCCCGTTCACCCTCAAAAATTTTATAAAGCGATGACTTTTGATTATCGCTGGATGTGTAGCTTTTGCATGTCTGCTTCGTCGGAATTCGCGTGTTTCGCTTTATCACAATCACCATTATACCATCCGCATCCTCCCATCCCAGTGATAGTGGCGTTACTTCCAGCAACATCAAATCCTGCATCGAATTCGACACACCACCACCACCACTCACATTGGCAGCCAGCAACGTCGCACCGTACGCCACTGCCTCGTCTGGATTTATGCACTTGTTTAACTTGCTGGTAGTGAAGAAGTCCTGTAACATGCTCTGCACCTTCGGAATCCGCGTCGATCCGCCCACTAGCAATATTTCGTGGATGTCAGCCTTATCCATCTTCGCATCATTCAACGCTGTCTTCACAGCATCCATCGTCTGACTGAAGAGGTCCGAGCACAACTGCTCAAATGAGGCCCGTGCGAGGGTCGTACTGAAATCAATGCCCTCAAACAACGATTCTATGCCTATATTAGTGGACTCAGCCGTGCTCAACATCCTCTTTGCCGTCTCACACGCCTTTCTCAGACGGCCGATAGCTTTCATGCTAGTGGTCAAATCCTTACCCTTGTGAGCCTGCTTGAACTTCTCCACACAGTGATCCACCAGTCGAGAATTGATGTCCTCGCCACCCAGGTGCGTGTCACCACCAACCGCCTTCACCTCAAATTTGCCATTCTCCATGGACAGGATGGACACGTCGAAGGTGCCACCTCCCCAATCGAAGATGAGCACATTGCGCTGCCTGTTGCTCCTCTTGTCCATGCCGTATGCAATGGCAGCCGCTGTTGGCTCATTGATGAGCCGCAGCACATTTAAGCCGGCTATTTTTGCTGCGTCTATAGTGGCCTGTCTTTGGCCCACGTTGAAGTACGCTGGCACAGTAATTACCGCATCTGTAACCTTCTCGTTTAAGTACGCC